CCCCCCCCACACACACAAAGCCTTCAGGGCATCTTTCCAGAGTGTGTAGAAAACTACAGGCCTGGGCAAATGGAGCGTCAGCCTTTAACACACACAGACAGACAGACAAGTAGACAAACAGAGACAGGCAGATAGATACACACACAGTCAGATAGACAAGTAGACAAACAGAGACAGGCAGATAGATACACACACAGTCAGATAGACAAGTAGACAAACAGAGACAGGCAGATAGATACACACACAGTCAAACAGATAAATAGACAAACAGAGAGAGGCAGACAGATACACATACATCGACAGACAGACAGATAGACAAACAGAGTGAGACTTGCAGATACACTCATTGACAGACAGACAGACAGGAAAAAAGTCAGACAAATAAAGAAACACACACACACACACGCGCGCACACACACACACACACACACACACACACACACACACACACACACACACACAGACAAACACTCACCTCTGCCGACTGGACAAGTTGCCTGGCCTCTCCAGCTCCGAGGGGTCAAAGGTCGAGGTGCTCTCCACCGACACACTCCGCCTCATCCCCGCCCCCTGCGGGCCAGGCCGGAACTTGCCGTTTGGGTTACAGCTCACTTTCCCCGGAGTCTTGAGGATCCCTCCAGGTGATGGAGGGACTTGTTGTGTCCCGTGCGCTTTGGTGGAGGGAGTGATGGTAAACACGTCCTGCCTCATACTGTTTGGGTGATTGTTGTCTCTTGTGGGTTCCTTTCTGGCGCTTGTTTTGGTCTTTGTTTTGTTTTGGTCTTTGTTTTGTGTTATATTGGGATTTTCTTGTGGGTTCACCTCCTGGCCATTGTTTTAGTCTTTGTTTTCTCTTGTTGTTGTCTGGTTTTTCTTTTATACAACCAGGAATAAGATAATGGTATTGAGGACGAACTGGATAAAGAAAAAGAGGAAGACCAACTGGGACAATGTTGTTTTTTGTTTGTTTCTTTTCGTGCAGCCAGTTACGAAATAGTGGTGTTGGAGACCAATTGAAAAAAATAATATGAAGCGGGATACCAGTTGGAAAATGGTGAAGTGGGAGACCAGTTGGAAAACGGTGAAGTGGGAGACCAGTTGGAAAACGGTGAAGTGGAAGACCAACTTGATAACAAATTAAAAGAAAAGATAACGACCGACTGGCAGCGTCGCAGAGGAACAATCGGGGCTGACGTAACCACCTGCCAAGGTTTTTGATGACCCGCCAAAATCGGCGGAAGTGGCCTGGGGCAGGCAAGCGTGACGTGGACTGTTTAGATCTGTGCCTGGTCTACTCGACTGTTTAGATCTCTGCCCGGTGTACCCAACGATAGGCCGACAGGGAGAGAGTAAACAAGTTACGAAACACACACCTCAGTGATGGGTCGTCTTGTAATCCCAACTCTCCTTACGAACTTACTATCACAGTTTTTATTCCGCAGATGTGAAAGTCCGCTTCTATTCTTTTAAATGATCTATTATTTTATCGTAGAGATTATTGAAATGTAGCCACGTAATTGAGAAGCAGATCTGATGTAGTCTGTCTTCAAAACCAGCCTGGTATTTCCTCTGAATGTTCAGGATCTGTAGACGAAAAATATAGACAGAAAGTAAAGCAAAGAGGAGAAATGAAAGACTGGTTTCGCAATATAATGGATATATTTATCATAAACTTCGACTACACTATTTATCATATTTAAACTTCGACTACACACAAATAAATGATGGTGCTATTCGTCCCTGGCAAGAGGAGCTGACCTTGACTTGTTAGCAGAGATGACGAAAAGGGTCAAATTTTTTAATGTCCACTCAGAAAGGACTGGGTACTAGTTCTCACCTAAGTCAACTGAGGGCAATTTGGCCCGACCAGTTATCTCCACTT